CAGTGTGGATTTTCGGATTCAGCATAGCGAATAGGTCCGAATAGGATAAGCACAAACTCTCAAAATTGATTTTTTGCCTGGACACTGCCTTCAAACCTCATTGTAGACCCTCCATCATCGCTCTCAATATTTGTACAATTTCCACATCATAGTCTGAGCATGGAATTTTCTGCGTACTGTTGCTTTTTTTAGGCTCTTCAGCACGTCTTTGCTGTGGTGGTCTCGGCTGATTCGTTTAAGGAGCTAGTGAAGAGCAAAAGCCTTGAAGATTTTGTGACGTCTCAGAAGTTATCATACTCACTGCCCAATCCTACACTGGTAATCATCATATATGGAAAACAATCCCGCAACGTATGTAAATTTTCCTTCACTTCTGCGTTATGCTTTTTGTTTCACTCGAACGTCATTTCAGTTATTTGATTTATCGATTTCCTTATTCGAACTATATCGAACTCAGCTGAAATATGTTGACAACGCTAAGGAGTTTGCAATTTATTTGGCTCAAATCACTCGGGCATTGGCGAAACTGGAAAAACCATCGAGCAAGCAAGATCGTCTAATTGTAGATGTTGAGAAGGTAATTTCATGGATTGTTTCGTCTCCATTAGTAACTTGTATCTTCTTTCCATCTTGTATACTCCAACTCCATTTTTTTTGGCAAGAATTTGTCATTTCTTTTCTTTCGAGCCTTGAATTCGCTCAAAAATCCGAATGTGAGTAATGATGGATATATTGGTTTTCGGCGTTTTTTATATGGAAACTCGCGCCAGTTCAGATAAGTGAAAGGGATGGTTTTGCAGAACTCGCGGTTTTGGTCTGCTACTACCATCATGCGTCATTTTGTATAAGCAACTCAAACATGCTCAAAATGTGTTATCTCATTCATAGTGTGTTGAACCGAATTTTGCAGGGTATAAAAGATGGCTCTCCAGAGGAATTGATCGAGGATTGGTGGGATAAGATGCTAGCAGTAATCGCTCGAATGCATGATGCACATCGGCGTGCCATTATGGCAAAATATCCTAATCCAATAGTAGCAAGCAAAAGATTTTCGCAGGTAGGCGGCAGAGCTGCAAATGATGGACTGGTTGTTTAAACCTTTCTTAGATGGGATATACGAGTGCTGTGAAGGAGTTGTCAGAGCTTCGATCCGAATCGGGACGCCGCCTTGGGCCTGTGATGGCACATCGGCTTTTCATGATACTGACCGATCTCACTGGAAGAGAAACTGTTGCGTAGGTCTGTTGACAGTTGCAGTCTCTGTGTTTGTAGTGGATCCTTTCCATTTTTGCTGACATTCCTACTTCATCTCTTCTTTCCTTATCGATGTACGGGATATTACTTTTGAGATATAACTTGAGCTCTTATTGGCATTAGATTGAACTTTACGTTTTGGATAGCTTTCACATACACTTCTTGCTCATTTACTCGTATTGCATATGCCTAGCAGATTTACTGAAGACTAATAATTTTTGTTCAATATATGCTTTTTTGTCTTAGTTTACCTCAGCTTTATCTTCTTATTCACATTCTTTTTTGAAGACAACTGCAATAAGTCTTGACTTTCACTCAGGCACTTTTTGCTGTATGCGCTTGACTTAATTTTCAATCTGTAGTCAGTTTTCAATCC